TCCCTCCCGGAGGAAGGCACCCCAAGCTCACAGAACGTTCTGGGAGCAGAGGCGGGGACGGGGGCATGCCGGATGCCAATGAGGCAGACTCCCTTCCCCATCGTTACCGCTGGGGGGAAACAAACCAAACCTGCTTCACACGGGGCAAGACCCTCCATCCAACGTGCACTCCCACGCACTCACTGCCATCGAGTGGGTGGTGAACTGCCCCTGTGCCCCTGCCCCTTTCTGAGAAAGCCTCATCTTTCTCCCAAGGAGCGGCTAGTGGTTTTGAAATGATGAACTTTTGGTTAACGACTCAATGCTTACCCACTAGGCCACCTGGGCCAAGGTGTCCAAAACACTCACTGTGATTCATCTCAGGACGTAGGGAAACATCTCGGTCCTAGGGGGATAGCACTCCCCACCCACCCCCAGGACAGCTGCCCCTCGCAGCACAATCTGTGGCCCTACTGGCCTGGGTGGGACTGTGGGGTCCCTGGCTGCCAAGAAAACAGAAAAGGCAGAGGCACAGCAATGTGTGATATTGGGGGGCTGGGGAAGGTACTTGTAACACCGGCAATTCAATTCCACACCAATGTGCCTGCCACACGGCCACCACCGCCTGTCAGTGCAAGTGGAGACCTGGCCGAGGCAGACTAAGAAGAAAGGCCTGGTGACCTACGTCCAAAACTCAGCCCTCTGGAATACAACCGTCGGATCTGGGGTCCCCGGGCGCTCCAAACAAGGACAGCATGGAGATCAGAAAACGAAGGCGGGAACGACGGGGGAGCCGCGCCACACCCCAGCAACATGACCCCATCAGGCAGGGTACAGGCACCACCACCTGAATGCGGGGGTTCACACTCCGCCCACTGGTTTGCTGTCAGGTGTAACAACAACACCCTACCCATTACTGAGAGACGTCGCTATGTGAGACAAAAATACTAGCTTCTATGAGGGCAACTCATCAGAACGGACTTCTTGAAAAGCCAGCCACGCTCACTGCCCACGGCTTCACTGCCGCTACGTGATGCAAGGCTCTGGCCTCCGTGTGGAGGGGAAGACGGTCGGCCAAGGCTACCTGTACAAGGTGATGCAACCCAGAAGTAATTCTGCCCCTCAGCTCACACTCTGGCCCCAAGCAGACTGCCGCCGAGTCCGCCCAACTCGGAGACCCGCTAGGACAGCGGACCCGCCCCTGTGCGCTCCTGAGGCTGCCCACATCCACGAGGAGAAAGGCTCACCCGAGAATTCTCCCTCGGCATGTGGGTAGCAGCCCAATGTGTAACGCGCTCCCCCGCCGGGGCCCCTGGGGAAAAGAAGGGCTTTGCAAAACTGTGACCACATTCACCCCCACCCCCCAAGGACCCTGTCCTGGTGCTGATCTCACTGCTGATGCTGAAGCCCCTTCTGAGGGCCCCCTGCGTGCAAGGCTGGCTCCCAGTGTCCTTGCCTTCTAGGAAGGGCCTGGCAAAGGTAAGGCGAGGGTAGCAGGCAGGTGGGCAGGGCAACAAGAGCCCAGGCACACAGGGCCACACCCAGTGACCCGAGGTGCCACACAAACATGACCAGCAGGCAGGCATGCAGGCCTCCTCTCAACTCAATCCACTGCCAAGTGGATGAAGGGGTTTTAACACACCATTTGGGGCTCTGATTTCATATGTGAGCTTGATGCCGAGTCATCTGGACTCCGGATGGCCCAAGTGTCACGGGCAGGGCAAACAGGCCTTTCTCCCGAGACACCACGAGTGGGCTACCATCTGCACCACGTGACGACAACCCCAAAGGAGCCCTGGTGGCACTGTGGGCTGAGCACTGGGCTGCCCACCACAGAAGCAGTGGTTCGAGGGCAGCAGCCGCTCCTCACAGAGAGAAGGCCGTCAGGTCCCAAGAAGACCTCCAGCTTTCCCAGGTCGTACTAAAAGGGAATCAGCTGATGACAGTGGCTCTCACGGCCCCACTGTGACCATGATAACAGGGAGGGGGCTTCCCGGGACGGTGGCCAGCTGCAGAGGGCTGGGCCGTGGCGGGCAGCTAAGTGAAGGGGTGGGGAGTAAAGCTGGGCCCCTTGGCTGCCTTCATTTGAGTAGGCTGCCTGCAGACTCCTTCCCTCCACCCCCACTGGCACGTGTGGGGGTTAAATTTTTCCTCAACTAGCTTCTACGAGACAGGCGTCCTGGTTTCGCAGCGCTTGGCTGCTAGCCAAGCATCAGTGGTTCAAAACCAGCCAATGCCCCACCATGAGAGGAAGATGCGGTCGTCTGTCCTCCTAAGACAACAGCCTTGGAAACCCCAAGGGGCAGTTCTGCACTGTCCCTTGCGGTCACTCGGATTGAGAACCAGCTCCACAGCAGTGGCCTCAGGTCCCCGGGGACAACACTGACTATGCCAGGATGGCATGACGCAGTAACTAGGGGTCTCTGCACCCCTCCATGCCCAGGCCCACATCTCACATGCATGCCGGCACACAATGCACCAAGAGGTGCTTGTGGCAGCGTCCAGTGTCTCCCTGCAGTATGGCCTCAGCACTGGGAAGAGGGGCTGCCAGGGTTCCCATTCCTCCGCACAAGGTATACCTCTCCCTCTTTAAGGTCCTGCTGGTCCCTGGGGTCCAAATCAATCCAACTACCACACCCTGGGATGTGACCCCCCCTCCACACGCACCCCCAACACTCCTGTGTTGACTGGGTGGACGGAAGGATGTGTGGGTTTGAAAAGGGCCGCTGTCACTGGTCTGCCTGTGTTTCTGGGGCTTAAATGGCCAGCTGAGTTGCACCAGCGTTTGGTCCAGGGGCAAGTGCTGCCGGCAGGCCAGGCGATTGCCCTCTGCACTGACGCCCTCCTCATTCCTCTCATTTCCCAGGGCCCCTCCAAGTCTAGCCCTACCCCCCAGTCCCGGTCACTGCAATCCGGGGGCCAAAACCCCATGGGCAGTGAAGGACGACTCCGGCCAGAGGCCGCAGGCTATGGTGGGGGGTGGGCAGGGGCTTCTCCACTGCCTACACGGGGTAAGCGTCGATTGCCAACCGCTAGGTGGGCGGTTCCAACCCCCGGCCGCCTGCGGGGGAAAGAAGAGGCCG